CACAGTGTCACTTGTCACTTGTCTTTATCTATGAGATAGATGCTTTAAAGGAAGAAGAAGGAAACAAATATACATTTCATGTCATGTCAGGTTCCAGTTTCCAGACATCAAAAAGTTTTCCATGTTAAATAAACAATTATTTTATAGAAAATTATCGTTGTCTACGTGTTAAAGTGTACATGAATTAATCCTCCTTGCGTATGATTGAAGAACAAGGCGATCGTGTCTTGATCGTCTGTACGTCAGGAAAATGCAATCGACTCTGGTTCGCCTACAAGGTATATTGTGATAATACAAAGTGTACTGATTGGAATAATGCAATCAAATAGTAAAACCAGAGAGATGTTCATACTGAGGGCACTGGAGAAGATCTTGAATGATAAAGAAATTAAAAGATCCCACCAGTCACAGCTAAAAGTGGCCTGTGAAATTGCACTCGGTAAGTACCAATTAATTAATTCTCCATTACCTTTTTATGTGTAATATTGACCAATCAATGACACAGATTAAGAAAAAAACACATCGGGGTTGGTTGCATCTTAAATTTAATGGGTGGTAACTAATTTAATTTAACGAAGAAAGTCCCTAGTTGTTACGATGGCATGTTATTTGTTAAGCAGCTGGCAACTGACTGTATTCTTCAGATTTCTATAGTTGAGAATTGGTTGTTGCAATTAAAAAAGGAAATGTGCGTTCTTAATTTCTGGAGCATTTTTAAGTCAATAGTTGAATAGTACCCTTCTTGTTACATGATATTTTTCCTGATTAGCTGAAATGCATCACGTATCGCTCAACGTTTAGTCTTTACAGTACAAGTTTCTTTTTATACAGAGGAACTTAAAAATGAAACCCATCCTTCACCAGAGATCGATACATCGGAGAAGGTTTCCGATGCCCTTCCCTTGCCGAAGAGTGGCGAGGTGAACGCTTTAACCACAGAAAAATACTTTCTACCTTTTGAGCTGGCTTGCCAAAGCAAATCAGCGCGAATTGTAACAACTGCTTTGGATTGCCTGCAGAAATTGATCGCTTATGGGCATTTGACGGCCAATGTACCCGACTCTACTACTCCAGGAAAATTATTAATTGATCGAATTGTCGAAACAATTTGTGCTTGCTTTACTGGCCCTCAAACCGATGAAGGTATATTGTCATATTTAGAACGTTCTCACTTGCATTTTTATGAATTTCCACAGGTGTTCAGTTACAAATAATAAAGGCACTGTTGACTGTCGTCACCAGCCAACATGTAGAAGTGCACGAAGGAACCGTTTTGCTGGCAGTGAGAACATGTTACAACATTTTCCTTGCCAGCAAGAATTTAATCAACCAAACGACAGCTCGGGCCACATTGACTCAAATGTTGAATGTAATTTTCACCAAGATGGAACTGGAGGCCGAAATGCACCCAGAATTACAATCCAACGAGAGTAAGTAACAGCGTGTGTTTTTTTTTGTACTTTTCTGTCTCAAAGTTTTGTTCTCTATGAGATACTTTTTAATATAAAGAATTGTTTAGAACTGATAGTAACCGATGGCCAGACAAACGGGGATATAAAGGATAACAAAGACGATGGTGAGCCAAAAGAGGTTGTAGACAGGATACGAGTTGATGACTGCGATCTATCGAAAGATCTTAAGTTAGAAAGTCAGCAAATAGCAAGCGATATCTTGGCTGTGATTATAGATGGAGTTCTGTCGGACGTCGACAACAAATTAACTACATCGTCATCAGTAACTTCTGTAAATTCGATTGAAGAAACCAAGAGCGTGTCCTCTTCAATTGCCAGGTAACAAATATATTATTTTGGAAATATACGTTTGTGTGTACGTTGTTTTTATTGCAGAGTGCCTTCTCAGGAGAGCCTCACAACCAACAGCGAAAACGATGCAGCGGTGACCGCCAAGTTCACGCACATTCTGCAAAAGGACGCGTTTCTCGTTTTTAGAGCGCTCTGCAAATTGTCCATGAAACCGCTGCCCGAGGGTACCCCCGATCCTAAGTCTCATGAACTGCGTTCTAAAATCCTTAGTCTACAGCTGCTGCTCTCCATTTTGCAAAATGCTGGTCCGGTTTTTCGGTCTAATGAAATGTTTATCACCGCCATAAAACAGTACCTTTGCGTAGCGCTTAGCAAGAACGGTGTTAGTTCGATTCCGACAGTCTTTGAGCTGTCGCTGGCCATCTTTCTGGCATTGCTCTCCAATTTTAAGCTGCATCTAAAAATGCAGATCGAAGTTTTTTTCAAGGAGATCTTTCTTAATATTTTGGAAACTTCAAACTCGTCATTCGAGCACAAGTGGATGGTCATCCAGGCATTGACCAGAATCTGTGGAGATGCCCAGAGTGTGGTGGATATCTATGTTAACTATGACTGTGATCTAGCAGCCGCTAACTTGTTTGAGAGATTAGTCAATGATTTGTTCAAAGTTGCTCAAGGTAACAACTGCACAAACTTTTTAAGAAGTTCTGGGTAGCTATTTATGGATTCTAACTTAATCTAGTGCACGTACATACATAAGTAGATATTTTCATTGGTCTTAGGACGACACGCGCAGGAATTAGGAGCCTCCCCGAATCAGGAGCGCACTATGAAGCTACGGGGATTGGACTGCCTAGTGTCGATTTTAAAGTGTATGGTTGAATGGAGTAAGGATTTATACGTGAACCCTAACTTGCAGAGTACTGTGGGGGCACCGCAAATAACTCACGAAAAAGATTCGGTTTCGCTAAAGAGCCACAGCGGCAGTATTGAAAGTCTGGATTCCAACGATAGCGGAAACAAGGAGGTACTGGATTCACCAGAACAATTCGAGGTTCTGAAGCAGCAAAAGGAGGTAATCGTCTTCTAGACATTAAATCAAATAAAATGGGTAGGCATAACTTTATTCACCATTGCGGTAACGTCTCTAACTCTAGCTGTTTAACGGTTCATTATTAGGACTCACTTTACTTATCTCAAGTTAAAACAGAAAAAATGATGATTTGGCGAGAGAAGTGGTTAGAAGTTATTGATTTAATTAACATAATTGCTGCAACTTTATCTGAAGCGATCTGTTCGGGTTTGTCTAATAAGGTTTCTTGGTTATAGGTTTGGGAATCGGGAATCGACATGTTTAACCGAAAAACTCGCAAAGGAATATTATATCTGCAAGAACACGGTTTACTTGGTGGTACCCAGGAAGAAATAGCGGCCTTTTTGCACTCCGAAGATCGTCTGGACAAGACTAACATTGGCGACTTTCTTGGAGATAATGACGATTTCTGTAAGGAAATCATGTATACCTATGTGGATCAGATGGATTTTGTACAAATGGATTTTGTTGCTGCATTAAGGCACTTTTTGGAAGGCTTCAGGCTGCCCGGGGAGGCCCAGAAAATCGATAGGTACTTTTAGGCCAATGTTGATTTGAAAATAAAATCTTGACTTGTTGAATTTTCAGATTGATGGAGAAATTCGCTAGTCGGTACTGTGAGTGCAACCCTAACAACGGCCTTTTCTCCAGTGCCGACACCGCCTATGTCTTGGGCTTTTCCATCATTATGCTCACGACGGACTTGCATTCGCCCCAAGTTAAGAACAAAATGACCAAGGAGCAGTACATTAAACTAAATAGAGGCAACACGGACTGTAAAGAGGTACCCGAGGAATATCTGTCCCAGATCTACGATGAGATAGCTGGTCACGAAATCAAAATGAAAAATACGATAAATAAACCGGGCAAGCAACAAATTAACAGCGAGAAGCGTCGAAAAATTTTATTCAATATGGAAATGGAGGCAATTTCCAGCGCAGCTAAGAATCTAATGGAGTCCGTTTCTCACGTGCAAGCACCCTTCACATTGGCAAAGCATCTTGAACACGTGAGACCTATGTTCAAAATGGCCTGGACTTCATTCTTGGCTGCTTTCAGCGTCGGTTTGCAGGACTGCGATGATCCAGACGTAGCATCTCTCTGTCTGGACGGAATTCGCTGCGCCATACGAATTGCTTGCATTTTTCACATGACCCTAGAACGAGATGCCTACGTGCAGGCCTTAGCACGCTTTACGCTGCTGACCGCAACGTCGCCCATCATGGACATGAAGGCGAAGAATATAGATACGATTAAAACGTTAATAATGGTTGCCCATACCGATGGAAACTATCTGGGAACCTCGTGGCTAGACATTTTAAAGTGCATTTCGCAACTGGAACTGGCTCAGCTGATCGGCACGGGGGTGCGACCTGAATTTCTATCAGGTCCTGGTCACAAACCACCGGACCCAAGTTATAAGGAACATATCGGTAAGTGTGCTTTGCTGCCTGAATTGCTTTCTGGCAGCGCGTCCTACCAATAGCAATGGAAAATCTTGTTGTTGGCTGCAGGTCAAACAAGTTCCCAAAGCGTGGTGGTGGCTGTCGATCGAATATTCACTGGGTCAATTCGCCTGGATGGCGATGCTATAGTGCACTTCGTAAAAGCATTGTGTCAGGTGTCGTTGGATGAATTGGCCCATCCAGGGCATCCCAGAATGTTCTCATTGCAAAAGATCGTAGAAATCTCATACTACAACATGGGCAGAATCCGATTGCAATGGTCGAGGATCTGGCAAGTGCTGGGTGAGCATTTTAACACAGTGGGTTGCAGTCGCAATGAGGAGATCTGCTTTTTCGCGGTAGACAGTCTGCGGCAACTGTCCATGAAATTTATTGAAAAGGGTGAGTTCTCCAACTTCCGCTTCCAGAAGGACTTCTTGCGTCCCTTCGAGCACATTATGAAGAAAAACGTATCTTCCACCATTCGGGACATGGTCGTTCGGTGCGTTGCTCAAATGGTCAACTCCCAAGCCAGCAATATAAAGTCCGGCTGGAAAAACATTTTTTCCGTATTTCATCTGGCGGCAGGTGACCAAGAAGAGGCAATTGTGGAGCTGGCCTTTCAAACCACCGGCAAAATTATATCCGAACTGTACGATCGGCAATTTGCATCGATGATAGACTCGTTCCAAGACGCGGTTAAATGTTTGTCGGAGTTCGCGTGCAATGCTCGATTTCCAGACACGTCGATGGAAGCCATCCGACTGGTCAGATCCAGCGCATGTAGCGTTGCGGCCGCACCCAACTTATTTGCCGAACATGCAGGAATGGAAACCGACATCAGTATAAGCGAAGAGGATCGCGTGTGGGTACGCGGTTGGTTTCCTCTGCTCTTCTCGCTGTCCTGCGTTGTTAACCGATGCAAGTTGGATGTGCGAACGCGCGCCCTCACCGTGCTTTTCGAAATTATCAAAACCAACGGGGATAGTTTCAAGGTGCACTGGTGGCGGGATTTATTCAAAATCCTGTTTCGCATCTTTGACAATATGAAATTGCCTGAAAAGCACACGGACAAGGCCGAGTGGATGACTACCACGTGTAACCATGCCCTATATGCCATCGTCGACGTTTTCACTCAGTACTTTGATGTTTTGGGGCCGTTGCTGTTGGAGGATTTGTACGCGCAACTTCACTGGTGCGTGCAACAGGACAACGAGCAATTGGCAAAATCAGGTAATACGGAAGCGATAGTGCTCTTTCTCTTCTTTTTCCTTCAAATCGAGAATGTACGTTTCAGGAACCAATTGTTTAGAAAACTTAGTCAATTCCAATGGTAACAAGTTCACTGAGGACACGTGGGATAAAACGTGTCAATGTATGTTGGATATTTTTGAATCTACAATACCAACGGCTCTTCTCACCTGGAAACCCGACTCTATGAAGACTATCGCCGTGATAGAGCAGAACGGCGAGGCCGCCGCCGCCGCCACCGTGAAAAGCATCCTGAAACGGTCGGTCAGTTTTGCGGATCAACAGCCGGGAAGCGCTGAGGTGGCCCTCTTTCAAAGTTTAGAAATCAAAAGTGTTGTGCAACTCGAGCTGATCCAGACTATCGACAATATCGTTTTTTATCCGGCGACGTCCCGTAAAGAGGATGCCGAGACGCTGGCGCTCGCCGCTGCTGACATGGCCGGAAATGGCGGCCTTACCGAGTGCCAGAGAGAGGAACAGGGAATGTATCGTTTGCTCAGTTCGCCGCACTTGCTAAAGCTAACCGAGTGCCTGCAGCAATCTCATCGGTAACTCATAACAGAATTGCCATTTTGATACATTTCAGTTTTTTCAATTCTCAATGTTTTATGTGTTTTGTAGGTTTGCCAAAGCGTTCAATCTGAATCATGAGCAGCGCAACCTATTGTGGAAGGCTGGCTATCGAGGCTCAGTAAAGCCCAACCTCCTAAGACAGGAAACTCAGAGCTTAGCTTGCTTACTCAGAATTTTATTCAAAATGTACAGTGACGAAGGAAGGCGGCAACACTGGCATTTGATTGAGGAGAGGTTGATAGAGGTCTGCCAGGAGGCGTTTGACTACTTCTTGCAGCTGCAGAGCGAGACGCATCGAGAGGCGTGGACGTCTCTACTCTTACTAGTGCTGACCAGGATGCTGAAAATGCCTGATAGTCGCGTAAGACGTTACCCGTTGTTATCAATTGAAAACTAAAGTTAATCATTTTCAGTTTGCTGTGCACGTATCGAAGTACTACACATATCTATGTGAAATTGTTTGCTTCGATCTAAAAGCTGAGCTGCGCTCGATATTGAGACGAGTTTTTCTCCGAATTGGTCCAGTGTTCCACATAACACGAGCTGCGGCTTAGGCACATTTTCAGATAGATGTCGACAGTTGTATATAATAATCATGAAAACCAAAATTTCCGACGTATGCGAACTCTTTAGTCATTCTCCAAGTAAACAGGGTTGCACATAATGGTAGAGTGCCAGCGGCATAAAAAGTAGGCGACTTCTATTCAAAGTTGTTTAGGCTCATCACTAGTCGAGATTTAATTAATTAAGAATACTGTTTATTAACGTTGACAAATTAATTTTTTTAGAATTATTGCTAGATATTTAAGAGGCCGATTGCCGAGATTTTATGTAAAATAATTGTTTCTTTAATAAAAAACAATTGCGGTTCCAAGCTGAAATGAACGTAATGAAAATCAACAATTGTGTTGTTCAAAATATATTTCTTATTTTTACGAAGGAAATGCCTATAAATTATGAAAAGAAAGCTATTCAATAATTTAAAAATAACGTAAATATAAGTGTTTCCACTAAGCTATTGAAAAGACAACACAGGTTAAACATCACGAGCTTATCGGTAGCGAAGACTTGTTGATGTCTAGACAAATGGAATCATATCATTCGTTTTTACTATTGAGTAAATACGTGCGACTTCAAAACGGTAATTCCAAAATTTCCCTTTGAACTGAATTGTACGATAAAATGAAAATAGCGGCGATTATTATTACTTAATTGCCTTATTCCTGATGGCCTACAATTATTAACTCTTTTGGGAACATCGAAGGTCGTACTACTGTTTAAATTATTTGTACTATTTGATAATTGCTATTCTTACTCAAATCAAAATCTACTAGGACCTTAGATAAAAACTATTTACCAAGAACATAAATAATTCTGTTGAAACCCATTAGAAACTTGTATCCCAAAAGACTACGCCGCATTTATAATTAGAACATTTGTTAGAAGCACTGTAATAAAGGGACAATTTTCGGAACGGAAACTTTAGCTCATATATCATCATTGTATAGCCATAGTCGCAAATATCTACACAAAAAAAACCAAAAATATCACCTTAAAGTTGTTACTCGATCACGATCCATTAGATCTTGTCCTCAACCGACAATTCGTGCTGCAAAACCGAGCTGTTGGATAGTTCCTGGAAAGACTGGTCCAAGCAGTGTCTCAATTCTGCGTAAGACACCACCAAGATACTCTGCTCGTCTCGAGACATGAGGCAGATTTTCTCAGGAGCGCCGACGTCCAACTTATTCAAACACTGCACGATGTGTGCCATGTCTATCCAGGGTTGTCCTTCTTCAGTTACTTGGTGAAACACATAGTCTCTGAACAGTTTTAGCATGTACCTAAACCCACACGATAACTGTTACATTACGAAGAATTGGGATTAATATAATACATACCTATCTCCTGTTTCCGACCACGTGCTCTCCATATTAAAATCCGGTCGTTCGTTGATGGCGGCCAATTTAGTCATCAATCTGAAAAGGCGTCCGTTTTGTACTTCTTTGCACATTTCAGACTCCAGCGTCTCTACATGGCTGTGTAGGTTATCCAGCTGTGTGTAAAACCTGAAACCTCCGCATTTCGTGGTTTCATTCAAGAAAGGAAGAAAATAAACAGTTTACCTTGCACCTATCATCGGCATCAAGTCCGTCACACTTCGACGTTGATTGGTCAGCAAGTACATGATCAAGTTTCGCAAATCGATTGTGTAAGTGCGACTTACAATATCGAGGGCTGTTGAAATATTGTCACGTTGCACAGCCACCTACAAGCAGAGGATGGGAACCAGTTTTATTAGTTCGGATCTCTCACTAACACAAGGTATTTCAGTGTCTACTAACTGTTGATTTACACGCTAAAGCCAAAACCAATTTTCCCAGAGCGGTGAGATCTTCCTGTTGGTAGTGATGAATCAGAGCCAAATGATTCAGAGAGGAGTTGCTGTCATGCAGTACTACGTCCATCACAGCTAAGCAGCTGAGACGCAACCTGATCGAAGACCATCGCATTGAAGTATTTCAGTTTGCGAAGTCAAGCTCGTACCTGTTCTTTGAAGTCAGAATTATTTTGGTCGGGTCAAGACTGCGGCATGCCAAAGCGTTTGAATGGATAACGCGCAACGCTGATGTCAGCTGAATAATGTAGTTCCAAATTAGCGGTTCGGGAAGCTTGTTGTTTTGCTGATGCCGCAGCAGATTGGTCTTCTGGTAACTGTAGGGCATCGGGGTAGATTTGTCGTTTGAAAAGGGGTCATGATAGCCGGGTTGGTCGATCGAAAAATGCTTGTTTAGCAGGGTTTCAGATCCAGGGTGGTAGCTGCGAAAGGAGAGGAAACTGTGATAGCGATAAAAAGATATGGCAACGCATATTGAATATGACTTCTTGGCGTAGCTTAGCGTTCTGAACAGTAGCTGTGTTAAGTGATCGATCCAGCTCGTTGGCACCTCAGCAATTTTCACCAATTTGGGGGGGTTTTAAGTGCCATCTCGGCTTACCTATATACAAAAACCATGGAATTATCTCCAAAAGCTTTTGTCGTGAACACTTCTCTCAGTTGTACTATGTTGGAATGATCGAGTTTCTTCCACAAATCGACTAATGAAATAAACTTGGTGTTTTGCAGTCGGAACCCATGAATCCGCCTCAGGCAGTAATGTACCCCATTTTTGATGTGCGTTGCCTTGTACATGGAGGCTTGGTATCCAAGGTGCGCCTTATGCAGAACCTGTGTAAAAATCATCACAAAATGTTGATATTGCCAACTGATTATTGTTAAAAATCAATGCGTTTATTCGGTTTGCGTACGTACATTTAAAATGTTTACCTGATTCGAAATTGGCTCTAAAGGGTAGAGCTCGTGGTAGCTGTCAACTTCTTGAGGAAGATCAGGATATTGAGAAGGATCCGGTTGCAGCAGACTTAACAGGTTGCGATTCAGAATGTCATTTCGCAGTTCCTCGGACATAAAAAATGAAGATTCGGATTTTCCCGGAAAGGGTACATATTCGTTTGAGGCGGGAGTTGCCGTAGACATTACTGGTTCGGGCGGTATTGTTTCTAGTAGAAAACACAGCCAATGATTACTCCACATAGAAAAATGCCAATTTTCAATGTATTGGGACACACTGTGTGGTGAAAGCCAGAATATATATACTATATCGAAGCGAGATCAGTGCAAAAAAGAATGCTCTTTGAAGGTGTGTTGCTCAAACCAAATAAATTTGCTGAAATTAGTTTACCCCCATTATTCTCTGGAGGTGTAGAATATTGATAAAAGTACGTAGTTCCTCCGACGTTCTCTTGATATGCAGGTAGTACCACTGTTCCATTCGTAGAACACATTTGTTTATCATGGGAGATCGGTGAACTGGAGTGGGCTGGAGATGGTGCTACCGATTCTAAACAGTTAAAAAATTATTGATATTGTTCACCATCACCATAAGGTGAACAAACTGACCTTTTGGTATATTTTCCTGGTCATCAAACTTCTTAGGCATAGAATGAAACATAACTGAGGGAGTCATCGGTGCATATGAGTTACAAGAAAAACCTGAATTTGATGTTGTGCTTGTGGAATTGTTCATTCTGGGCACAAATTCCGTTAGATGATCTGAAATGTTATGGGGGTAGTAGAAAGATAAACTGACTGCTACTACGATAGCACGGTTACAAAGAAAACGTAAGTTTTCAAAAGTGCAGTAATTTTTAACACATGTCAGAAGCAATTAGAAACCATGTATCTATTGCATTTGTGAAGGTAGAAACTCACTTGTTCGTCCCAGCTGTGACAAAGTTGAATGGGGATGTGAGCTCGGTGACAACCAATCCATTGGGAACACGTTTTGAACTGTTCCTGGAACACAACAATTATGGGGAGCCGATAAACTTTTATTTTTGCAAAGGAAACACTGATAACGTCGACCTGTAGTAGGTAAGTACCCTTTTTATTATTTTTCAGTTCGACCACAGTTCAACTGTCACGAATGTCATTTGTGTACGGTTGTTTGTTACAGCGTTGCTCTGAGCTAAGAGTGCTAGTGGTCTTTCGCTTTCTTCTTCCCGTTTTTGGACTATATAGTCTAGTGGCTGCGGCTATGAAAGAGTAGAAGAATCGAATATTTGTGATCGCTGCTACGACATAACCGCTGCCAAATTTGTAAACACAAATAAAGAGTTATGTTATATAAAATGCAACACCCTTATGTATCTGTGATAAAAGTGAATGGGATTCCCATTTTACCGCCAGTGGTAAGTCTTTACAATCTCAATTTATTGTTTTTGGAGATAGGTTATACAAAATAATTATCTATATTGATGGATTTTAAGATTACACCACAATTGCGAAAAGAACTTCTGAATTACCGACAGCAAGCTATTCGATTACAAAGGCAACTGGAAAACCGTCTCAGCCTGAAAAGTAACACGAACGGGTGTCTGAAGGAAGCTTTTAGCAATGACGATTTTCATGACAATAACTATATTGCTGTTTTTGCGACTCCTGAAGAAATTAACCCAATAGTGCCTATATCCATGCATTTGAGCAAAGACCTAATAGAAGTAACCGAGTACAACAAAGATGGGCTAAAGATTATTAACAACACACAAACAGCGCAAAGTGATAACATCAGCAGTAGTCTTGACCATGTCGCGTTTGAAGTAGATTCTAGAGGCAGCCAACCATTTCAACCTCGATTACTTCGAAGCAATTCTTACACTTTAGAAAGGCCCAGTCCCATCCTGATGGAACATTTAAGGAACGAGCAGTCTGCCGGCAGTCCATGCTTGGCGAATACCCTCAAGTGGAGCTCTCCAGATGGAAAAAGCATTGAAAGTATATCCAACACAGCAAGGCATCAAGACCCAAACGAAGTAGTAACAGATACTGCGGATTTAGCAAAGGACGTTGAGAAGCCGAAAGCAACTGCTATTGAGGTGTATCAGACTGATATATCCGTTCAGCAAATAACAGTAAATACCACAATTCAAGATTTGCCTAGTGGGAGGTGTCGGAACAAGGAAAAACAGAATAGTTTCTTCAGCAACCATCCCTTCGATAGCCTGGAACCGGACAGCGAGTTCCTGAAGGTGCTTAAAGATGTCCCGGATGAGTACGCACATAAAATAATCGACTTACTGAGGAAGCAGCAACTGGAACAGAAGCAACGCTTGGAGAGGTACAATCATTTAAACAATGCCTCAACTGCAAACGAACGGTATATATGTATATAAATATTTATTTAAATTTTCTAACAATTTATATATTGAATAACGCTTTCCAGGTCCATTTGCTCAGAAAGTCCACCCTTAACAATAACTCCAAATGAAAGCATGCAACGAAGCAACACTTTTTCCATGTCACCCAGCCAATCTATTTGTTACACCGCCAGCAGCGACAGAGAATCTCGTTTAGACCCTCCGATTTCTTATATTGAGCCTCTAGACGTGACACAGCTACATCCAACAAACGTCCACTTGGAGTACAATTTGTCGGATAAAAATTTCTCAAAAGCCAACGTTGCTGAAATTGACCAGGATCTTCTTAGGTCTTTGGAACGGGTAATTTTTAACTCATTCTCAATCTAGAAATTAGGTAAAACCAGCATCAGAATTCTGAATATGTAGGCTTTGCTTTAACAGGAAAGAGCGTCAAGTGTTATAGGCGCTTCGGTCAGAGGATATCTAATCAGACGGCTGATTAGAACTGATAAAGTGCAAACTTTGATTGCTACTGTTAAAGAAGTCCTGATGTGCGCCCTAGAATTGCACCATTCCGATAATATCGATGAGAAAGACGTCGAGCTGCACAGAAGGCTGATCAATCAAGTAAATATAGTTTTAGGGCTAACATTCATAACTGTAATCTTTTATAGAGCTTGATTTGTCAAATGTCAACACTTATTTCTTTAGATCCAAATAACTACTTTTTATGACACAGCATTTGCCTCAAAGAATATTTATAATAATTTTCAATTTACTTTTATTGCGAGTCTACGAAGATTTATGTTCAAAAAACGAACATAGGAAAATCCGTTAATTTTAACATAAATTAACAGCCAAAGTAAAGAAAAAGATTAAACATAACATCACAACATTACAACTATCAGCTTAGAAGCATTTTAAAGGAACGCAATGACGGTTCTTTGCAATATAAACCCACATATATTTGGTTGGTCAATTGAGTCTATCGTTTGTATTAGTGGGTTTTGCCAACAGAAAAAATCTGAATGAAATACGCCCGTTAGAAAGCCACTTCTGGTTTTAGTTATCGGCTGCTCTTCATTCCTTCCATGGTATATTTTTTGATTTGCCCATTGAGGAGCAAATGGCCATAATCAGTGCTGATCGTCAAAGGAAAGCTGAGAAATCGAGTCGGACTCAGTCCAGCAGCAGATCTTCCTCCAAGCAAAGACTGATTAATACGTCTGCCAATGACACGAAAGTAGAATAGGTGGTATCGAAAGTAACGGAGCAACTTGGGTGAAAAAGTGGAATTTTTATACATTTTATATCAACATTGTAGTGAAAGTAGAAACCCTTAAAATATATTTTTGTCACTCCTATCGAGTCAATCTCTTTTCAGCTACTGATGAAACCAGAAAAGTTACGAGTTCAGCTGATCTTCAGGTGTGTTGGTGTTAAGGTCCCTAAAATGCTGCAATCTTTTTTCCGCGCGAACACATCTAGGACATCTCTCTTTTCTTTCGATGCAAACTTTATGTGAAACAGCAGTACAGACTTCACAAACGTATGCATTCGAAGCAAATGGAAATAAGACCTCTTCGTTTCTACAAATTTCGCAAATATGACCTCTGCCCTGACAGATCTCACATTCAGTTTTAATGTGTCTCAAATACTCATCAACTAAATCATGCAGCTTAGATGGTAAGTCTCCAGAATGAGTATCAACCAGGTCCTGTAGGCTATAAACGTTGACATTCTCTATCAAATGCGCTCTGTCACACTTCCATATCAAATGTTCATCAACAGCCTTTCTACAAACCACTAAATATTTCCTGATACCCTGGAGCTCTTGGCGCAGTCGTTTGACCAAATTCAGCTCTTGGATTCGGTGGAACAGCCTAGGATTGAGCTGTTCCAAGTTAATTAGAGGTCGATCCGCTGTGACTCGCAAAATTTGCAGACTGGCTTGTGACACGGCACGTGGTTCGAAGTCCCAATTGTGTATAACTCTGGCTGGAATGATTGCTGAGCTTTCCCAGTGACAGGCGGAGCAATAGTAGAGGCCCGTATAATCGCAACGCTTAGCATCCGGCCAGACATTGTCTGAAAATGTGGAAACAGCAGGCGTTACTTAAATCGCAGCTAACAACTCTACAAATTCATGTTGAAAATATCCGCAAATTTTACCTGCGAATAGCAATTTACCAAAGCAACTTCCGATTCCTTGAGGGGCAGCTAATATTTACAAACAAACATCAGTGTTACATTGTACCACTTTGGCTACGCAAAGTAGTCCAGCGAAATTATAATAATGATGAAATAATTGAATACTCACGGACAACCAAGGGTGTTCTGCACTCAGCACAAAGGTACTTTTGCGCCGACAAACCCACTTCAGGGCATATTTTAAACTCGTATTGTCCTTTTTCACATGCGACTACATGAGCGCATTCTCTCACAATTGAAGACAGGCATTTGTAGTGACAGGCATAGGCACAATCTTCACACATATACCATGCTTGAACTACACTCCTATGAATCAATATTTTCAATATTACACTCGCTCGCATAATACAATAAGCGCTCACCAAATAGTTCCTGTACAATGATCGCAGTATCGATGTCCGGCGTTCTTCAACAGGGACTGCAACTTCAAATGATGGCCTTTTATTGATCTACTTGAAGCTCCGCTACTCTTATTTCGTGGATGCCTAATTAAACAATTTAAATGCTGTTGAAAACCAGTGTCAAATGTGAACAAAATACCTAGGATCCTCCATCGCTTCTTTATGCTCCTGTAGTCGAAATCTAAGCTCGATTAAGTGTCTAACAATCCACTTCCTTTCGGCTGAACATTCAGTATTTTCAAGAATTAGCTCTTTGCATCGGTTAATCGCTTCCAGCAGATCATGTTCTGTGGCTTCCTGAAATTCAGGATGCAGTTAAACGGGAACAAGTGGGAACTTGACTACTTACTTGATTCAATGCAAGCTGGAGTTCCTCTGAATGCAAATTTGTTGGCAATATATTATCCGTGTCCTCACTACTCAATGTTCCGCCTGACTCTGGACTACATGACGATTCAACAGTTTTATCGTATTCATTTCTCATATTAAAAACAAATTTACTAATTGAAACGCTTGTGATAATGAAAACATAGATAAAGACGAGTATATCACAGAACATACCCCCAGGGGGGATATTTTGTGGAGTATATGGTCAATCTTAGGTTAGGTCTTAGGTCCTCTCGCCAATCTATCGTCTCTAATAAACGTTGGAGCATGCGCAGAAAGAGGTCAGTTTTACATTTTAATGTATGCTATAGACAAAGACAAGTGTACCAGCTATAAATAATTTCTTGACATTTCCGATGTGTCGTCATATTCATATCTATCTGTCCTAACCTAGATTACCTGATTTGAATTTTTCAAAACTTGATTTTCTCTTAAACTTGCCACTGAGAACAAAGTGTTAGTAACATGTGGTTTGAAATATTACCTAGTGCTGCTATTGTCCTTGCGGGTTTGGCTTTACCGCACGTTTCGGGTTATGTAATGAATAAATTGGTAAGTACATCATGAATTGCATATGATTAGAGATTTGCTTGACACATTGAAAATTGTAGGTCTTGGGCAACATGTACAGGAGAAGTCTTGCTACCCAGGACTTGAGAATGCAGTACTTGAGGGACATTAGGCTCACAGGAGATCCCTATGTTACTAATGGACTAGAGAACATTCCTGATTCTTAACTGGTTCAATTAACTGTAGCATTATTTATTATACATGTACAAACTGTAACTGTACTGGAGTGGAAACATTATCAGTTTAACACGCAATAAACATCAATATCTAATATGCATTTGGACATAGGGGGCTTGGTCAGCATTGAAAGCCAGTTGGCTGGTAATTGCAACTGTTTTCATTTTGTCCTTCTATTTGAACATTTTCCCATATCCAGTTATTGCAGGCGCCTGTTGAGCATGTTAAGCATGAATTTAGTTGGTAAATCGGAACGTGAATTAAATTAAAAATTGTAAATCTCACCTTCTGCACATAAAATGAAAACAGGTACCCCGGTATTCGCCACATTTCCTCCAACGTCGATGAACGTTAGATCATTAATAGGAACATTTCCAACTGCATCTCCTCGCGGATAATTCTGCTGAATTTGTACACCAAATTTTTCAATGTCTAATTGAGAAAAAAACATATTACTCTTATGAATAGTTATATTTTTTAGTATTTCGCCTCAAAAATTTTTAAAAGTCTTTAAAAAAGGCTGAATTTCCTTACGTCTTTTATTACAGATTGATAAATAGTGCTCCTATTTCGCAATAAGAACGAATTATTTATCAAAAAGTACACCTAAAGGGTATCCTGCAACACACTTAGGCTCAAGCTGTAAGAGAAAATTCCAATTAGTAAAGAAATTAATTTGAAAAATTACCTTGACGTTTCGATAGCTATTTCTTGCTATCGTTATCAAAAGAAACTAAATGAACCTAAAAAAGAGTATGTTAATAAATTGTGTAACAATAGTAGGATAATATCGCAGGATACCCTTATCGCGAAATAGGAGCACTATTTATCAATCTGTAATAAAAGACGTGAGGAAATTCTGTGTTTTTTGAAGCCAACAATTTTTGAGGCAAAATACCCAAAAAGGAGTTTGTAAAAAATGAATCCGCCTCAACAATATAGAACTTATCTACAAAGTAGTTATAATATTTCGATAAAATATTGATTTTTAGTAGTCACCGTTAAAGGTTATATTGCTGTAAGTTACTCCGGAGATCAAACCAGGACCACCATCATTGTGCGTTTTAATGTGTATTCCATTGGCGCCGGAGTTCAAATACGAATCTCGAATTGTGATATTTCTCAGAGTATTGACTGTAATGTCGTCGGCGCTGAATCCCACTGAAATGCTAAGTCCGTGGCTACCGTGGCATCGCAAACTATATGCAGTTATATTCTCCCCTAAAGAGGTGGCATTGCGGTATAAAAAGTGACGAGTCTTGTCACTTTCAGTATTCTCATTTCAAGCTTACCGCATCTAATTGCTAAACAGTCGTCTTGATTAAAAACGACCGAATCTCGGATAATAATATTGGTGGAATTCCACACATCGAATCCATCAGTATGGTGTCCTTCCTGCCCGGCCGGAGCGACGTTCTGAAACAGACAACAAACACAACAATTGCGTACAGGACTTGTTACATTTGACTACTTTATCTCCTGCGGCATCGTCTATCAACCAGTTGAATAATTCAACGTTGATTGAGTTCGTGACTTGTACCACGTCTTTTGGGCTATTTAAAACCACAATGTCATGGAAAACCGAATTGAATGCTTGTATGGTAAAAAGTTTTTTACAGTTTACAGTTGTGGTTTGGGTGTTCCATTGCCTCCTTTTCCATCCCAATAAAGTTGACCCTGACCATCAATCACTGAACCTAAAGCGATTTTTAAAAACGTTGAAGTAAGTACCACTCGCATTTACAGGGTGATTCAAAATTGGCGTCATTCCTTTTAAAGGGTGATAGAGGCTCACTTGGGGAGTACGAGAAAAATATTGAAATTTTGTTTTCAAAAATGGAAGATCAAATTTCAACTTTGTTATTAAGCATTATTTAAAAATTGTTCCATGTGTAATTGGTGGCATATTAGAATACTTAAGCATTCAAAAAGAAAAATTACGATCTTTGCTTCAAATTACGAACATTTTTCATATCAAAAAAGTTCTCTTTTACAATTTTTTGATGAAAAATCACAGCGTCAATGATGTTTTCTGTCATTAACAGATAGTTACAGGTGGTTAGTCCGTGTCAATAAAAACAATAACTTGTCAAACTGTGACTTACTTTGAATTTCCTTTCACGAATTTGCGGATATGCACTTAGTTCAAGGGAAATGCTACAGTAAGATAGCAGAAGAAAGGGCGAGGAGAGTGATTCCAGGAAGTAAGTCAAGATAGAACAATCGATGTTCGGGTTCCAAGCACAGAGGAACAAGTATTGGACATAATCGACGGAACTGACACGTTCCCAGGCACCAACTACAACTAAATACCGAGGAAAGGCTACATTCCTACCACGTTTGTACGATACACACAGCACAAGGAGATACAAATGAAGCACGAGTTAATTAACTGAATACGAGAAGCTGCTTGATAAGAGTGGATAATAAGAAGATTACACAGGCACTAGCTTGTTTGCAGTTAACCATTCAAATGTTTGGTGTTGTATGGATTATTTATGTAAACACCAAACCCCGCAGAATTCGAGGTTATGAGAACAGGTTGACATGTCGAAAGTACGTTGCGCAGTCATGGCGCAAAATAATGGTTTTAGAGAAAAATATATGTTGAAAGGATTCTAAAAATTGACTCATTCGTAATAAAAATGATGGGATCGACAAGATTTTTAATATAATAAAAGTATAAAATGCAGCCTATGTATCAGCTGTGGTAATAACGTGGTAATAGCCCTATCGCATCAGTTTATTTGTTATTTATTCGTGGTTTTGTAACTCTTATAACAGCGCCAGACAACACCTCCAGAGGAATGACACCAATTTTCAATCACCCTGTATGCATAGGTACCTTCTTCTCCTCGAACATTTATTTCAGTTCCATTGATTGTAACTAAGGGCCCATCCCAATTGCTGAACTCGAAAGTTGTGTTTCCGCTAAATGTCAAATTGGTTCCTTTAAGGAGGTTCAGTTTAAGTGTTATACCTCCTGGAATTACAAGGTTGTGAAGCACTATATCAGAGCAATTTTTGATCACTTCTGCGACTCGTGCAAAATCTGTCACTGTGCAAGTTTCACTGCGGGATCTGGATATGAAGAGTAGCGCACAAGCGATTATAAATTTCATTTTGTTAGGCATGGCTCGATTAGTTTGGAGAAACTTGTTAATTTGCAATTTGGCTTTGAAAACTACTCAAGATTCATTGCGTCAACATATATTTATAAGTGATGATAATAATCCAGATACTACCACTTATGCTCAGATACTTACAAAACAGTGGCGGTTCGTGGTTAATTGCCTGTTTATCGATTTTTAAATTTTAGAGCTACAATATACAGGGTGATTCAAAATTGGCGTCATTCCTCTAGAGGTGCTGTCTGGCCGTGGTTAAGGGGTACAGAAAAAATGAGAAATTTGCAAAAAACTATCTTAGAAAAAAAAAGCTGCTGTCAAGGGGACTGTAGATCGGGGTTTTATTAGGTGCTTATTCAAATGCGAGGAAAAAGTTAAGAGCTGTAAAAATGGGCCTGGTCCTTCCACCCTGAGTTGGTAGAAGCGCAAAAAACCACTACAACTGTCAGGCTTTAGTCGAATAGGAAGAATTGTAGACATTGGGTACCTTCGGAGAAAGAAGAAGAAGCTTCGGTACAACTATAAGAAGCGGCGGTGGGAGATGGACGATCTGGTCGAGGCTGATGAGTCAAGAAGAGAACTCTGGAATCTGGCCAGGTGCCTCACAGCAGGACCAAGGAAGCCAATACCACCACTGTGGATCCTAAGGAAAAAGCTGAGCTCTTAGCCAGGAAAACCTGGTTGATCACCCAGAACAAGAGAGGATAGTCAATGAGCTGGTAGCCGCTTACTTTGAAAACAGGCAGCCCACCAAAGCCAGAAGAGTCACCAAAGAGATCATCCCGGACATAATAATTGGCCATAATGGTATTGGGACTTAAAAAAGGGAAGAACAGGAAGCTGCTTACGTCCCACAGGCCCATCAGTCTACTGCCTACACCGAGCAAGGTCATGGAGAGGTGTATCCTGAACCACCTACAGAACAAGAATCCTGCAGCAGTTAAACCGCCTAAGCGATCGATATGGCAAATACATTTGACAAGGTTTGGCAT